CATGATCGTTTAATGATGACCATCACGGCAACGAGGCCCGACGCTGAGACGTCCAGGCCATAAAACAACCCCGAGGCTCAAGTTTCATGGGGACTGGGAAACCTCGCGGAACGGAAAGAGCACATTCTGGAGAGATCTTTCGAAGACATCACTTCGCCTTTGGAAACGACTTCATAGAATATAGTATTTTTTCATAATCGGACTTAGCGACTCATTCATTCTCTACCTCGTCTTACACACATCAGATACATCCATCTATTCACTCCGCAATACTCACCTCAGCAACTTACTCTTCCCCGATGGGAAAACCCACGACTCAAAAAGGTCATGCTTTAAGCTTAGCCGACAGCGAGCGAATACTTGGCAGCGAGCGCGATATTTGTGATGGAGGCAATAAACAGAGGACTACTTTGTTTTACTTTATTATGTTCCTTTCAAACTAGGACAATGATACCGCTACAAGAAGAACCGTATACACACTTCAAAAGACAGCAAGAAAGGTGCATACAAAACGCTCAACATGTGAATATTGGAATTAACTTGAAATGTGAATATCTCGCAAACTGTAAGAGACCGGTTGATTTTGAATACAGATATGGAATTCTTGTGAAAAGTTATATAAGCACGTAAAATTTCAGTACTGAACTAGTTGGGGGTCATTCAGAAGCACAGTCGTGATTTTTAATACACTTATTTTGGTTACGATAAAATATAAATTAATTAGTTTTGATAAAATAAACACTTAATTTAGAAAATTGAGATCTTTGTCGCATATTTTTCAAATATTGACGATTTATGCAATGCACTCCATAGCAACGTATACATTTGCGCAACTATTCATTAATGTTTTGATCATAAGTTCGTCCTACATACAGACTTAAGGTTTTTTTTGCTTACTTTAACTTTACTTCTTATTATTTTTTTTTACTTATTATAAACCTATTGGTTTTATTAATTGTATATTAAAATTTCCTTTTAATTCAAGGGAAAATGATAGTATCTTCTTATCGAATTATTAATTTTTAACATTTGATAAGTATGAAGGTAATAATTTCCAAAAAAGGAATTAAAAAATATCAATGCTTTAAAGAAATATTATCATTTTTCTTTACATTCTTGATTCCTGTATGAGAAATTTTAAGGGAGAAAATTTATTCAATGAAAAGAAACTCAAAAAACGAATTGAAACTAAATCATAACTGCAGTATAAGAAACATCAACATTTTGTATGGTATCTTTATCAAATAGATGATGAGATTCAATAAATATCTAAAAATAAATATATGTATATATACATATATGCTTAGCATAAATATCAAAACTATCCTTGGAAAAAAAAGTACAAGAGTAAAACCTTTTTTCTATTTAGAACTATGTACTAATATACTACAGACATTCTATGCCAAAACGATAACTTTTGGACCTCACTATCTGAGATTTTGCTTTAATCAAAACATGTTGTAGCCATATGAAATTAGGAGAGGGAGGGAGGGAGTTAAAGTCATCATTTTGCCAGTTTCCAATTTGTTAAGGAATAACAAGCTTTTAAAGTTCGTAATTTTTAGTTGTTACTAGTTTACCTTCCAAGGTATAAACAAAGTCATTAAGTCGTGTATGAAATCTTCTCGTATTGCTTTGGGACCAGTAGTATAAAACAACCGATCATAATAACTGAGCGCGCGACTCGCCTACCTGAAACGGAGGTACCCCGCGTCCATTTCTAGTTTGTAGTGAGGTCAATTTTCGAGGCTTCATCGTTCTAAAGGGTTCATTTTAAAGGGAAAGCTTCTAAGATATAATCATATACTTTTTTTATATTTAAACCCTTTATACCCCTCATTGAAGAAAACGCAAAAAAATAATTTGTTTAACTTTTTCGACGTTTTTAAAAAATTGATGGAATTGAAAAAGATATTTAAAAATAGTCCAATCCTTTATGAATAAAACAAAAACAAATTAGTTAAATCGGTTGAATAGTTTCCGAGAAAAAAATGCGTGAGTGAAGCCTTTTTTTGCTCAAAATTGACAAAAATTGCAAACTTTGAAGGCTTGTTATACCTTAACAAATTCGAAATGGGCAAAATGATGATTTAAACCCCCTCTAATTTCACATGGACTACAACATATTTTGATTAAAGCAAAATCACAGATAGTGAGGTCCAAAAGTGATCGATTTGGCATGGAATGGCCTAATACGAACATAGTATACATATCCCTATGTAGGGTGAAACAAAAATGATGGTTAACTTAATGATGGTTTTTATCAATAATAAAAATATACTGATAAATATGGATCAAGAAACTAAATAATATCAATAATATAAAGAATTTTTTGTGGGTAGTTGGAACAACTGTCTTGGTTTAAGAGCTATTGCACTGTGCAAAATGATAATTTCTTCTTCTAGTTATGAAAGATATGCTACAGGTTATTCTTTTAATTTTAGTGTAATGTTTTAAAAGTATCTATTTCTAACAGTTTCAGAGACACTTTGCGTTTTTATAATTTATTTATGTCACTGTTTATTGAAGGTTGTTAACTTTGAGACTTGGTTGTTAACTAATTCAGTACAATGACATATTGTGAAATTTGTAATTCCACTTCAAGTAATAAGTGTTTTATTTAGATACACAAAGCATATGTAATGAATTATAGATTTGATATACATTTTATAAAAATCTGCTGTAAAAACACTCCTTTTGGTGAATAATCTGGTGAAACAGGAACTTATACTCATTAACTCATTCGAGACCGATTGCACACCGTGTGTGCAATTAATTTCCAAGGCTATGAGACCGGTTGCACACCAGGTGTGCAACAGTAGTAATGAGTAATTATCAATTATTCTGAATAAAATTGTTATCGAGGTAAAACCTTATATCACTTTATATTACACACATGGTGTTCAATCCGCTCCACGCAATGAAAACATTCTAAGTAATCTAGTTTTTTTTATTAAAAATGAATAATATAAAGAGAAAAAGAGCCTCGCTCCTGGGGACCGTGTTCGAAAAAATCGTCGTCTCGAATGGGTTAAAACTAATACAAATACAATGAATATTCACAAACAATTTTCAACAAAAATTCTTCTACTATTTATATTCAAATTTTTTTCAATTGCTCTTAAGACATGGGCTTCTATATAATAGTTGAATAAAATATTGTTCTTTTGAAGTCTTAATGCTTTGTTTCAGTTAAACTGATGTTTCATAAATACATAAATATATTTTCTTAAACAATGTGAAAGACAATATTGTCAGATTCAGATATCTTTTTGTACAAAGTTGCTCTGCCACTCTAATGTAATCACCACTAGTAGTATAAATATAATGAATTTTTGTTGTTTAATGCTTATACTGAAAAAAGTTTATATTTACACTATTATTAGTAATTTGTGATACGTTTCATAATAAGATATAGAAAGACATATTTTAGTCTTTTTATATGGCATAGTAGCTCCTAAAATATAAATTACTTGCATCCATCAAAACAAAAAATTATTTATTGTACAAGAAATTATTAGTTTTGAGATTCATGTTTATTAAATTTCTTTTTTCATCATATAACAAGTATTATCAACCTAAGAACTTGAGTCTTTTCTTCGTTTTACACTGTATACACGAACTAATAAGTAATATCAATAAGATAAAATTAAATCAAAACAGAATAAAAGCCATAATTCATGAATAACTTTTTTTGTAAAGAAAATATCAATTAACTTTTTTTTAACTATTTTTTAAAGACATATTGTGAACATATATAATATATAAAGATATATCACTGAATACATTTTAAGTGATACCATAAATTTTTTCATAAAATCTATGACAACAATAAACGCAGTATAATTTCAAATTACTTAAACCTACAATTGTTGTATAAGTTACGTTGATTTAACTAATACTTTATACTTACCAATCAATATTTACAAATCTCTCCATAATTTAGAAAACAGAAATTAAGATCAAAGAACCATATTTTCAAGTGTTATCATCAAATTATGTACAGTTTATTTTATTAGAGAAGGAAGTAACTAGTAGATCCTCCAAACCGAAAAGTAAAGATGTATCCCTACTCTTTGACCAAATAAGACAAATAAGGGCAGCGGTGCTTAAACGCCATCTTCTGTATAATCACAGTATAAAAAAGTTTTCTTATACTGACTAAGTTTCCATCGAGGGTTCAAATCGGGTCAGAGTCGGGTTAGAGTCGAGTTTGAGTCGCTGGTTGGAGTTGCGGCAGGGTTGAACATTACCAACTGCACAAAGTCAACTACCATATTCTGACATGTAAAGCTGAGCAATATTAATTTTACAATATCAAAATAACATACAAAAATTATTTCTCAGATTACAAGATCACCGACAAAAAGTAATATGCCACTCTAATGTAATCACCACTAGTAGTATAAATATAATGAATTTTTGTTGTTTAATGCTTATACTGAAAAAAGTTTATATTTACACTATTATTAGTAATTTGTGATACGTTTCATAATAAGATATAGAAAGACATATTTTAGTCTTTTTATATGGCATAGTAGCTCCTAAAATATAAATTACTTGCATCCATCAAAACAAAAAATTATTTATTGTACAAGAAATTATTAGTTTTGAGATTCATGTTTATTAAATTTCTTTTTTCATCATATAACAAGTATTATCAACCTAAGAACTTGAGTCTTTTCTTCGTTTTACACTGTATACACGAACTAATAAGTAATATCAATAAGATAAAATTAAATCAAAACAGAATAAAAGCCATAATTCATGAATAACTTTTTTTGTAAAGAAAATATCAATTAACTTTTTTTTAACTATTTTTTAAAGACATATTGTGAACATATATAATATATAAAGATATATCACTGAATACATTTTAAGTGATACCATAAATTTTTTCATAAAATCTATGACAACAATAAACGCAGTATAATTTCAAATTACTTAAACCTACAATTGTTGTATAAGTTACGTTGATTTAACTAATACTTTATACTTACCAATCAATATTTACAAATCTCTCCATAATTTAGAAAACAGAAATTAAGATCAAAGAACCATATTTTCAAGTGTTATCATCAAATTATGTACAGTTTATTTTATTAGAGAAGGAAGTAACTAGTAGATCCTCCAAACCGAAAAGTAAAGATGTATCCCTACTCTTTGACCAAATAAGACAAATAAGGGCAGCGGTGCTTAAACGCCATCTTCTGTATAATCACAGTATAAAAAAGTTTTCTTATACTGACTAAGTTTCCATCGAGGGTTCAAATCGGGTCAGAGTCGGGTTAGAGTCGAGTTTGAGTCGCTGGTTGGAGTTGCGGCAGGGTTGAACATTACCAACTGCACAAAGTCAACTACCATATTCTGACATGTAAAGCTGAGCAATATTAATTTTACAATATCAAAATAACATACAAAAATTATTTCTCAGATTACAAGATCACCGACAAAAAGTAATAATAACCTCTTCTACACCGATTAATACAGCACGTGATACGCAATGCAATTTAGATTTGTTATGTTGGCAACACGAACTCGACTCTTGTCGTTTCCACCGAACCCAATTGAACGCTACCCTAAAATTTTGTAGAGTAGAGTTCAACTAAACCTTTGGTGTTTCCACCGTAAAAGCGTTCACCCCAACCCGACTCTGACCCGATTTGAACCCTCGATGGAAACGTAGTCACTGTGGTCTGACTATGGGAAATTTCATGGATACGCGCTTTAAGTATACATAATACTAGACACAACACGTCAATGATATAACCTATAGCTGCCTTAACAGCGACATCTGGCGGAGCTTGAAGTTGCCAATACGTATTTGTGATTCTTTCTTTCTGACCAACAGTTTACAGTAGCGCTATCAGTTCAAAGTAACCGGTAACGGTTAACATTTTATTACTAATATAGTTACTCATAAGATAATAAATAATAAACTTTCCGTAACTTCTGGTTAAAAAAAATCCAGTAATATGGTAAGTGCAAGACAATAGTTTAAAAATTATTTTTAAATGGTTGAGGAATATTATTATAACCTCAATTATACATGTAATCACTTGATAAAGGTTAAATGAAGCAACAGATTATTTTTATTAATAAAATAATATTTTTTCTTCACTTTACTTCTTAAATTAATTTTGTAAATTAAACATTTATTATTTTCAGACGATCGGCAAAAACAATAAAATGTTACAACATATAAATTATAGAATTAGAATTATTTTGCAAGACTCCAGAACATTTATAGGCACATTTAAAGCCTTTGATAAACACATGAACTTAATACTTGGGGATTGTGAGGAATTTCGTAAGATCAAACCAAAGAATACTAAACAACCAGAAAGGGAAGATAAACGTGTATTGGGTTTTGTTCTGTTAAGAGGAGAAAATATTGTTTCTTTAACTGTAGAAGGTCCTCCACCACCAGAAGAAGGATTGCCTAGAGTACCTATTCCTGGTGCAGCACCAGGACCTGGTATGGGTAGAGCAGCTGGTCGTGGTATGCCTGCTAATGTTGCTGGAGTACCTGCTGGATTACAAGGACCTGTAAGAGGTGTTGGTGGTCCATCGCAACAAATAATGACACCAGGAGGTAGAGGTCAAGTTTCTGCCCCACCACAAATGCATCCTGGTGGTCCTCCACGTATGCCAGTTGGAGGTCCTCCACCTGGAATGATGGGCCCACCACCAGGAATGATGGGTAACAGTTCATATATTTGTTTGTTTTATCTAGCAAATACAGTTTCTATTTCAATGTCATTTGAACAAAAATTGAAACTATTGCATTTCATTATAGGTATGCCACCAGGTATGCCACCAATGGGACGTGGAGGTCCACCAATGGGACCACCAGGAATGAGAGGTCCACCTCCTGGTATGATGCGTGGTGGACCACCACCACGTCCTTATTAACATTTAAACTATTATATTACTGTATTTGGTAACAATAAAGAACTCTTTTCTAATACTAATATTTCTTCATTAATGTATAATCTATAATAAATCATATATAATTCAGTAATAAAAAAAAATAACATTTTATAAATAAGTACACTAGAAAAAGTTAGAAAAGAAAGTTAAATAACAAAGTTATTGTAGTACTAATATTGTAATATTTTTTAATTTATAGTTTCCAACTTTGCAATATATAAAAAAAAAATGTGAACAATGAATATTGAATATAAATGTTGATATTTCATTCAATAACTTCATTGAAAAATAAGCTTAAATATTGTTATTTGATTATAGTTCTGATTTGTCTTAATTTGTAAAAATAATATTTTTTTTATAAATCTGATAAAAATAATCAGTTATCGAGTTATAAAGCTATACAAATATATATACAGTAATATTAAATTCGATATATACTTTAAGCAGTTCACATTGGAAATTTGTCAATTAGAAAATCATTACTACTTCTTTCTTAACTGTACGTATTTTTATTGAAAAGCAGATGATTTTCTTTCAAAAAAACATGTTCTTCCTAATTTCATTATTTTTGTTTGTACATATTAAATTAATTTAAAAATTATAATTTGTATACACGTTAATTCGACTTATTACAGTTAAATCCCCTTAACTCCTGAAGCGGCAGTTTAACTGATCATCGCTATCTCTATCAATGTTGCGAATCGGCCTTGAGGAACGTATCAACATGTAAAATACGCGAATGTCTCCAACGCAATACTCATTAATGTAGTTACAGCTGAGAATCATGTGTATATGATTAATATATTAGAATGCATCATATAAACACACGATTTTCAACTGCAACTACATCACTATATCAGTGTTTGACTTTGTCGACGGTTTACTGTTCGACATCGGTGACTTTGTTTTGTGAAATTGACTAAAAAATCTGCGATTATTCGCCATAACTGTCCACTTTCATCCCTATATCACGAGCAGTTACGGGGATTTTACTGCACAGACATTCCGGTTAATTTGTAAAAGTATCTCTAGTTACCTTAGATACATATAAAATGTAACAAAATCTATTTTACATATATTATCTGAGTAACACAGTATGGACAAGTACAGAATTGCAAAATTAAATTTGTCTATCTGATTATAACTTAAATGTATCATCTTATTTGACTATAACATAATAAGTTTTTATTATCAGGCAAAAAAATTAATTTGTTTTAATAAGAATTTATATAGTACATATCAAAACAATTGTCAAATATAAAAAATATTCCAAAGCATAAAAAAGCTAATATAATAATTACAATTTTTTTTTTCTGCTAATAGCACTTTAAATATTTTTACAATATAAAAGTGATAATATTTGACATAATTTCTCGATTCATTTTTTGTTTTTGGTACCAAAAAATATACTACCGAATGTATTTTAAATTAATTTGTAAATAAATTTATTTAATTCCATTTATAATTAAATAATATGTATAAAAAAAAGGATATCAAGGTTAACAGGTATTGCCAGTATTAAAAAAGATGTTAATAAAAAAGTTACATTTCTCTCTATTAAAAGAAATTATAATCTATTAGAAGATTTTTGAAAATATTATAAAATATTATTTTTATTAATATTCTACTGAGTAATGAATAATCAAAAATTTACAAATTGGATGAACAAGTCATCAAATTATTTATTTCATTTAGTATTAAGTTTATAAAGCACTGGCATAATAAAATATCATTTTTTAAAAAACTGAAGGGAATGAAACAGTATACAGAAATATATGCTATGAAATATATGTATATATATATTATATATATTATATTTATATCTTCCTATATAATCGTATTGTTTGTTTCAATAATATGTACACTACACAAATTTTGATTTTGATTTTTATAATTCTCAATTTTATTATGATTATATATAAAGTTTTCAAACATTATTAAATTTGAAACAGTCAATCATAGTTTCAATTTTATATTATTTTACTACTGTTTGTGTAAAATAATATTTTTTTTACATCACTATGTAAAATTGAATTTAAAAATGTTTTTGAGATTAAAAACTGTAATTGTTCAAAATCATTTAAATTATACGAGCCCTACAGATCACTCACTTATAATCCATCAATTATAAAAAAGTATAATCAACGTTTGACAATATCAAAGTAAGACTAACAATGAATGTTATTAAATATAATTTCATTAATTTACCTTATGTATGTACACATTACTTTGAATTTGAAAGTATTTGTTTACTTTTTAAACATTGCATAGGATCCATAGAATTCTTTAAATAAAAAATTTGCGTTTGTATATATATTTTTACTTTCCTTAAAGAGAAAAATATTAATTAATCGTAGCAGAAATGACAAAAAATATGTATATTTCATAAAATGTAATGAAATTTAAAAATAAAAAAATTTCATAATCAAAAGTAAAATAATTTATATTTTATTTTCAAATCATTTGTAGTAGTATTTTCATTATGCATGCGGTAAATCGTATTCATTAATGTCGTAAAAAATTTACACTTTTTAAGTCTATTAAGAAGCTTACGTTTTTGGATATATTTCAATTTGCAAAATATTTTGCACATAAAACATATTATTAATTTACAATGAATAATTTACAAAAGGTTTTCAAAGTAATTATAAAGTTAGTTGTTGATATTACATGCACTTTTTAACAACAATTTTGTAATACATTTCGATAGTTTCAAACTGACCTGTGTTTTTCATCTTTAACAGTAGTAATTATAGCATCAGTTTTTACAACTAATTCTTTATCCTGTACATGTAAATCATTGTTACTTGGTTCTTTCGAAAGACGAGTATTTGTATTTTGTATCACAGTCTTAGATTCAGAGGTAAGAGCAGTAGCTGATTCAAAGAGATGAGATAATGTTTTACTTTTTTCTATAACATCCTGACGAAGATTGAACATAATGGTATTACCAGACTGAAAAGTATAAAGTATATGTTTTTAAAAATCACAGTAACTTTTATAATAATAACTAGATAGATACCTAGTATTATTATGTAACATTAGTTATTATTATAACTTTTATAATAATTATATGACATTACATATTAACCCTTATCGGCCATATGTAATCACCAAGGTTTCATCTTGCTCTTATTGCGTAAGATTTATTTTGGACGTTATTTACCTCTTAATGTACTCAATCAATTGAATTCAGGCTGATTTAACTAAATTTTCCTACATGTTCAAGTAAACTTTTACAAACTAAAATATGATAGTGAGGCATTTTCTATAAATGTTTCAAATTGTTTTAAAATTTGTTCAGCTTATTTTAGGCACAATAATAATAAAGAATAAACATTTAAACGGTTTTAAAGTAACAATAATTTATACCACTTTAGTCGAAAGAATACATAGAATAATTTCGTATTAAAATTAAGTAATTTACTATTACTGTTTAAATGCGAAACATCTTCAAATTTACATTTCTTTTCTGGAAATCGGAATTTTTTAGAGCTGAAGATACTGGCGAAGGAACAGTTTCAGATTCATATTCAGTGCAAGAAAATTTATAAAATACGTTTACTGAATATGAATTGTTTGAAAAAAAGAGCTTTAAAAAGATTCGTTAATTATTTTTACATTAAAATATGATGAACATTAAATATGATATAAATTACTATCATACATTCATTTGAATACAAAGTACTTTTATATGTAGATATTTGATTAATAATTGTAATAATTTTGGAAAAGAAGTTTATATCCGGCGGTGAATCTTTAGTTAGACATTGTAGTCCGATAAGAGTTAAAAGTTTTATAATAAAACTTTTTATAATAATAAAATATTTTACGAGTAGTTATTATAATAAAATTAAAATATACCTCTGCTTTTAATAAATTGCAAATAGAAAGAAAACGGATATTACCTTTATATTAGACGTTACAGATTCTGTATGAGATGAATTAGTTGTAGATAACATAGTTACAGCTTGATCTCCATTATTGAGTGTAATATGACGCGGTAGCACACTAATAGAGGCATTATGTTGACTTGTGACACATAAACCCTTTGCACCCATTATCATTGTTCCTAATACTTCCTAAAATGTCCGCATTTTTTAATAAATTTAAAATATAAAACTTACAACTGTTATTTTTACAAATTCAATATTTGTTGTACCTTGCCTCCATGAGAAAGAGTTACACCTTTGGTTTGACCCTTTTGTATAACAATCACGTTCGTTTTTGATCCTAATTTCGTATCTGAATGATGAGCTATATTTACAGTTGTATTAGAGTTTAATGTAACACCCTAAAAAATGACAAATATGTTATTTTCAGACTAAATCTTAAGATTTGTAGAACTGATGTTCCACCGAATGTTTATAAATATAAGGTTATACCATTTTGGCAGTGGTTTGATTACTGAGTGTTGTAGGCAACTTTTTACAAGTTAATGTTGCTACTTGTTTAGCTTGGGGTGGTCCTGGTCCATTGGAAACAGTTGTAACAGGGTTTACAGTCATAAGTTGATGTGAATTATCTAAAAACGATTTTAAAAGAATATATTAATGTAGCATAACTTCTGAGCATTAATTTATAGTTAAACAAAAATTCAAGTACTTGATGTAATAGTCTTAGTTATTGAAGGTTTTACATTAGGATGTATTAATGGGATAATGCGTTTTGCATGGCTACCAACTGAATTTGAATTCTCAATGTTTGATGTCTTTTGTAAGTTATGGGTTATAGATGGTACTTTAGAATCTGTAACAATGTACAAGATTTAAGACAATTAATTATGATCACAAATTAGATTGTATCTTTGTAAAAAAATGTATTCATACTTAAACTATCCTGGTTCGATATATCCTGAGAATCAGATTGTACATTATTTTCTGATGCACATGACACATTATTAGACATTAAAATTGCAGCTCCAATTTTTGTATTAAGCTTATTTTGGGTTGTAATTATTTTCCCCTTAGTTTTTGTAATATTCGTTGTACCTACTGGAATTACTGCATTCATATGATTGCCAGATGATCTCACTGACTGACTACTACCACTTTCTTGCACTGTCGATTCCTTTGAATCTGATTTCAAATATAAATAATTTGAAAAATTGCAGTATTACTTTCTAAAAAGTATATTTTAAATATATGGACTAAAAACAATAACCTGTAGTGTTTTCTCCACGATTAATATTAAGTGGTATTATTGTAACATTTTGATGCTGTAATGAATTTGTTGGTATTTGTGATAAATGAAGAGTATTTTCAAATGATCCTTTCTCAGCAGTACTATGATTTAGAGTTCCTACTGAACTTGAAGATACTACTAAAACCTATTGACATAGGGTGACTATTAAGACTGAATCAATTACAAATAAAATTAATCATTGCTTAATTACCTTGTTTGGAAGAGATTGTAAAGGAGAAGAAGGTTTACGTTTTTCAGAAACATTACATTTTTCACTAATCTCGAAATTATTACTCTCATTACTTTCCCCCTTATCTTTATTTAATTCCTACAATAACGAAATATATGAGATAAAGAAAGTAAATGGAATACATTTCTGTATTATTCATTAAACAAGTAACTAATTTTACCATATTTTCATCACTTGATTTATCTTCATTAAGTAAAAATTCGGAATTATTAAGCAATTTTTCTTGAACTTTCATCTTCGCTGGAGATTCATTTTTAGTATCTATTAAAATGAGTATATAAATGATTTGTTACTGTTTTCTTTTACTTATATATAGAAAAACATTAATCTACCAAATTTGCTTAACTTACACTTCTACAGTCATACACTATATTACATAAACTAAAACCACACATTTACCAAAAATAGATATAATTTTTCCTTAAAACCTTTTGCATCCTCCGTTTTTTCATGAACAGGGAAGTTTCTTCTGTTTGCTGCTACCGTTGCAAGGGCCAAGCTATTTGCTATCGTTGTAAAAGCAGATCGAGCTTTTAATCTTGGTAAAAGTGGAATAACACGACGACCTTCTATAGTCCAATCTGTGCCAGTATTTGGACCATTCAACCTAAATTCAGAAAATTTTTTTGAGTTGAATATAAGAATTTAGAAATTTAATACAGAAATTTATTTAAAATACTATTATTTTTAAAAAATAATTAATTAATAAATACATACTGTTCAGCTATTGTTGCTAACTTTTCATCGTTAACAGCTCTTCGGACTTCAGCACGATGTCTTTCATTTGAAATATGTAAAACTTTAGCAAGTTCTTGTAATAATTTTTGTTTTTCATTAGTGAAAGGGCCTTGAGCACGTAGGACAGATACCATACTTCCATAAGCATCCAACTCTGTTAATAACAAATTATCTCATTTATATAAATCATATCATGATTATAAGAAATTTTTAACAAATGTTATGTTAATATGTAAAAACTGAGCAAACTTAATCAAACAGATATTACTCTTATTATTTTTTGTGGTTTACTTTATTTAAATTAATTAATTTAAGATATATATAAAGAATTTAAAGACAATTTTGTTTTTGCTCTCAAAATATAAACTTTGTAGTTTTTCAATTGTATTTTATAGAATTTCAAATTGTGAAGAAGAAAATACTACTATTCTATTTTAATAATACGTTTGGTCAATTTAAAAATAATGTAAATAATTATTGCATCTAATATTTAAAACACAGTCGTAATATGGTAATAAGAAGTAATTAATCTTACATCATATAACCTAATGCATAGTATAATCATGCTAACAGTAAAAACAAAATTAAATAATATTTTTGAATAACAATGAAAATATCATTAGCTTTAAGAAAAAGATTGACAAAATGTAGTTATATTTAATAACACGTAGATACATTTTTATACAGCAGTAATAATTAATACATTCATAAATAATGATGATAATCGAAAACTGTTCTTCGGATGTTCTTTCCCTTTTCTATATCTCAATGATATATATCACGCGTATTATAATATTCAATGCGTGGTTTATTATTAAAATTGCACCTCCGATGCGTATAATTCATTTTGTGACTGTAAAGAATTACATATTACTGATGCAAAAAAAAAACAAAAATGAATGGGAACATAACCTTACCTAAACATCGTAAACATTTTCTGCATTCATCGCGGGTCATCGTTTCATGTTTCTTCGACCACATGATTGCATGACTTAATCGTTATAATAAACTCGATAAAATTTCATCACTATTCGTACGTTTTGCCCACATTTTCGACGTTTCGTTGACAGTATGGTAAGTTGATGATGAAGTTGCCGTACAATTACTTTTATTGCGACTGTTTTTTTGTTTTATAGTGTTGGTATTACTACCAGTCAAACGAATCTTCTGTGACTACGTTTCCATCGAGGGTCCAAATCGGGTCAGAGTCGGGTTAGAGTTAAGTTGCCTTGCCTGTTTCCATGGGATCAGAGTTACGTTGGGGTTGGAGTTGGGTTGAACATTACCAACTGCACAAAGTCAACTACCATATTCTAACATGTAAAGCTGAGCAATATTAATTTTAGAATATCAAAATAACATACAAAAATTATTTCTCAGATTACAAGATCACCGACAAAAAGTAATAATAACCTCTTCTACACCAATTAATACAGCACGTGATACACAATGCAATTTGGATTTGTTATGTTGGCAACACGAACTCGACTCTTGTCGTTTCCACCGAACCTCAACTGAACGCTACCCTAAAATTTTGTAGGGTAGAGTTCAACTAAACCTTTGGCGTTTCCACCGTACAAGCGCTGACCCCAACCCGACTCTAACCCGACTCTGACCCGATTTGGACCCTCGATGGAAACGTAGTCACAGAAGATTCGTTTGACTGGTAGTAATACCAACACTATAAAACAAAAAAACAGTCGCAATAAAAGTAATTGTACGGCAACTTCATCATCAACTTACCATACTGTCAACGAAACGTCGAAAATGTGGGCAAAACGTACGAATAGTGATGAAATTTTATCGAGTTTATTATAACGATTAAGTCATGCAATCATGTGGTCGAAGAAACATGAAACGATGACCCGCGATGAATGCAGAAAATGTTTACGATGTTTAGGTAAGGTTATGTTCCCATTCATTTTTGTTTTTTTTTTGCATCAGTAATATGTAATTCTTTACAGTCACAAAATGAATTATACGCATCGGAGGTGCAATTTTAATAATAAACCACGCATTGAATATTATAATACGCGTGATATATATCATTGAGATATAGAAAAGGGAAAGAACATCCGAAGAACAGTTTTCGATTATCATCATTATTTATGAATGTATTAATTATTACTGCTGTATAAAAATGTATCTACGTGTTATTAAATATAACTACATTTTGTCAATCTTTTTCTTAAAGCTAATGATATTTTCATTGTTATTCAAAAATATTATTTAATTTTGTTTTTACTGTTAGCATGATTATACTATGCATTAGGTTATATGATGTAAGATTAATTACTTCTTATTACCATATTACGACTGTGTTTTAAATATTAGATGCAATAATTATTTACATTATTTTTAAATTGACCAAACGTATTATTAAAATAGAATAGTAGTATTTTCTTCTTCACAATTTGAAATTCTATAAAATACAATTGAAAAACTACAAAGTTTATATTTTGAGAGCAAAAACAAAATTGTCTTTATTACATGAATTTAGCTTGTAGGGGACAAATAGTTCCCGGTGTGGCGCTGGTATAGCAAGCCTAAAGCTTAGGGCTTGTACTCATGCGTCTCGCAGGTTGGTACGACGCCAACGGCGGGAGACGCCATGGAAGTCCAGTCGTAATAAAGATCTCGTACACAACGGCACGTGCAGTCACTATCCTTTCCCCACAAGCTTATAATAATGTTACGCTCAAATCTTACTTTACTTTATTTCCGTTTAGGAGTAATGAAATTCACTAGATCGAGCGGTGTGAAGTTAGTCGTATGTTCTCTGTCTACTTACTGGGGTTTTGGTTAGGAGAGACAAGGACGGTAAATAGGATGTTACGAGAAAACACGCATTCTCCCATCCCAAACGACTCTGCGAAGAAGTAATATTTCGACATGATTTCTTTTGCATACTACTCTCAGAGGTTTAATCTAGGTCGCTCTTGGGGCCGATTTTGGAAAAATGGGACGTGAAAAATTTTCTTCTATAAGAAATGTCAGTTTTCAGTGCATAAAATTGTTTTGGACAAAATTGCAAAATCGGCTCCGAGAGCGACCTACATTAACCTTCCGACAATAGTATGCAAAAGAAATCATGTCGAAATATTACTTCTTCGCAGAGTCGTTTGGGATGGGAGAATGCGTGTTTTCTCGTAACATCCTATTTACCGTCCTTGTCTCTCCTAACCAAAACCCCAGTAAGTAGACAGAGAACATTCATATCGCGCGGCTTGGTGCTGACTGGGTTCAGGACTGGCTATACGTACATACATATGGCACCCCAGAGGGTACCGCTGAAAGGGCCCACCATTAAAAAATAGTTTGCATCAAAACTAATAGCAATCGTATCATGATATTTTCTTTTCAAATGTATCATGTGCAAACACAAAATATTAATTCCAGAAATAATATATAATAAATTAGTTATGTTTTATGTTTTATGTTTTTTTAACAATTTTCCCGATCTTTTCTACGATATATAATTATTTCCTTTTGAACGAATAGGAAATTATAACGAACAAATAATG